ACCTGGTCACATGGCCGGCAAGCCACTCCCACAAAGCAGGCCACATCTACAGAAGAGGTTCTAAAAATTTTTGAAACCCACTATTGATACAAGGGAGCTGATAATTCCTAACTTCATTTATTAAGAGCACGACTAAATGCCACATGCAGGATGAATTTTGCCTCACTTTCCTGCCCCATAATTCTGTTCTTTGCCAGTTTCAGGGCATCATATGGGGATGATGTCACTAACTGCTTCTTCACTGCATGACTACACTTCACGTCAGGGGTCCCTAACACCCGGTCTGTGGCCTGGTACTGGTCTGTGGCCCATTGGGAACTGGTCCGTGCAAGCAGCAGGCAAGTGTGCAAACATGCAAAGCTGTATTTGTGTGAACAGTGTGTGCAGTGGTGGGATTCCAAATCTTTTCCTACCGCAAAGGTGGCATTCAGCAGGTTCTGACCAGTTCTGGAGAACTGGTAGTGGAAATTTTGAGTAGTTCGGAGAACCGATAAATACCACCTCTGGCTGGCCCCGCCCCCATCTATTCTCTGGCTCCCGAGTCCCAGCTGATTGGGAGGGAATGGAGATTTTGCAGTATCCTTTCCCTGCCACGCCCACCAAGCCACGCCCACAGAATTGGTAGTAAAAAGTTTTTGAATCCCACCACTGTCCAACCGGTTCTATGAGAGCATGCTTCATATAGACACATAGCACTCAAAGACCACCCTCGGTGTCAGCGCTGGTGAACTGAGCTGTTTTTTTATCTCAGCTGAGGTGCAGCAATTCGCTTTGTTGCGCAGATCAGCTGAGGTAAAAAAACAAGGGAATATAGGACAGGGAATGATGGGGTGGGGTGGGGTGAGAGGGCGGGGCCAGCTTAGCTTATGTACAAATCTCAGGTTCTGTTCTCCAAGCCAACATTTGTCTTCCTCTACCCTTTGACCTACCTGGGCGTGGTCATTCTGTACCGCAGTCAAGTAGTTCTCCAGTGCCGCACGGCGGTTATCATTCAGCAGTGCTACTACACGGGCCAGGTGGGTCTCCACCAGCCGCTGGCGCTCTCCAGCCACCTGCTCTTCCAGTGTCTGGAGGACAGATTGGAAGTGCTAGAAAGCAAGAAGAAGAGAAACGCCATTCAGGGTATTTCAGAATAAGAGTTAGGAGGGACCTTGGAAGTCTTCTAGTCCAACCCTTGGCTCAAGCAGGAGACCTTATATCATTTCAGACAAATGGATGTCTGATCTCTTCTTTAAAACCAGTGTTGGCGTACCCACAACCTTCGAAGACAACCTGTTCCAGTGATTAATAGATCTAACTGTCAGCAAATTTCTCCTTAGTTCTAGGTTGATTCTCTCCTTGATTAGCTTCCATCCATTCCTTCTTGTTCTGCCTTCAAATGCTTTGGAGAATAAGTTGACTCCCTCTTCTTTGTGGCAGCCCCTCAAATATTGGAATACTGCTATCATATTATCAACCCTAGTCCTTCTTTTCACTAGATTAGACATATTCAATTCCCACAGTCATTCTTCATATATTTTAGAAGCCCCCTAATCATTTTAGTTGCTCTTCTCTGTACTCTTTCCAGAATCTCAACATCTTTTTTATATCGTGGTGACCAAAACTGGATGCAGTATTCTAAGTGTGGTCTTACCAAGGCATTATGAAATGGTACTAACACTTCACATGATTTTGATGCACTAATACTGTATCAAGGGTCAGCTTTGAAAATTTCAGCAACAGGTTCTCTGCCTGGTTGCTTGGTGGGCGTGGCCATGGTGGGCGTGGCCTAGTCAGTCTCCTGCACTATGGTAGGGGGGTGTTTTCACCTTCCCCAGGCTCCGGAGGCTTTCCTTGAGCCTCTGGGAGAGCGAAAACTTCCTCTCCCGGGCTCTAGAGGCCTTCTGGGATGCCTGTCCCCTGAGCCTCTGCATGGGCCCTGCACTTACCTTGCATTCAAAATAGGCCGTGTGGAGACTCCTGGGAGGGGAGGGATGGGATGGGCGAGGCCAGCCAGGGGTAGGATTTGGAAGTTCTCTGAATCAGCCATAACATTCGCTACGAGTTCTCCCAAACCCATGCGAACCTGTAGCAGCCCACCCCTGATTAAAAGGTGAATACGGACCTGGCAAAAACCTTGGGTGAAAGACCCTGGGAACTTTATTACAGCAAAATGTAAAATTATATTCCTGAACATGCGTGCAGACATAGTTTTTCCTCCCGAAGGCTCAGGATAGATCAATAGCAAAGTGACAACATCCAATTCCTTGAAACCCAATAAAATTATCATTAAAAAGCTTAAGATTACTCAAGCCACCTACAGAGACAATGACACTCTCAAACACAACAAAGCCTTCCATGCAGAGCTTATTCTCCTAGAAGCAGATGTTTAATTAATTACCTGAATGTGTTTCGGGAGTTTATATCTTGGCTGTCAAATAAAAACCCAGGATGGCTTAAAACACTTTGTCAAAACGACAATTAATCGATTGCCACACATTTTAACACCTCTTCTGTATGAAAAATGGTAGATTCTAAAAATTTTGAAAAAGAGAAACACGAGCAGCTCTTAAAGACCCCTAACTTTAAGGTTTTCAAGGAGAGAACCCCAAAAAATCATCGGGGGAGTTGACAAGACAAATTTATTTATTTATTTATTAGACTTATATACCGCTTCATAGGGCTTTCNGTTGGGGGCAATAGGCTGACTCTGTAAACCGCTTAGAGAGGGCTGAAAGCCCTATGAAGCGGTATATAAGTCTAACTGCTATTGCTATTGCTATAGATTCATTCATTCTTTATAGGAGGACTTTCCTTCTGATAAAAATCTAGCCCTTCATCCAGTAGGACCGATGCACTTTGCAGATGGACACCTGGCCAGGCCAAGGTATTTTACAATTTAAGAAGAAATAATAATTCCAGGTCCTTGGGAAGAACTCAGTAGGTGGATACAAATGCCAAATTCAGCCTAAACATCTGGCTGACTGGGTGACCCACCTATAGGTTCCCTTTACACTGACACTTTTTCTCCTAGTAGGACATTCTACAAAGTCTATGGAGGTTCTCCATCATCCAGATCAAAAGGCAGCTGAATTTCCTTGGTTTTTTCCCCCCTTGAAAACATTTCGCTTTTCCTCCAAGAAGCTTCTTCAGTTCTTCAGAACTGTAAAATTTGGGGCATTCTACAGTGCCTCTTCCTTCCTCTGGATACATATAAAAGTATTTTGAAAATTACTTCCCTTGGGCTGTAGAAATGATACTATGAGAAAATCAACTTAAGTAACCAATCAAACTAACTACTGAACTAACCACTGTATAGTACTTAAGAGCAGGCTGACCTAATTGGGAAGACATCTTAGTCTACAACCAACAGGGTGAGTGGCAAATGGAAGACTTAATTTAAGAGTTGAGGAGGGATGATATCTGGGATATGAAGGGTACCTATGTCTCCTCGGAGCTCCTGGGTTAGCTGGGGATTCTTGTACAGCAACGCAAGACTTTGGTTCATCCGTTCCTCAATGACATGGAGATGAGTATACACCTGGGAAAAGACACAATAATGGAAAATGGTTTCTTCTAGAACAGTGCTTCTCAACCGTGGCCATTTGAAGAGGTGTGGACTTCAACCCCCAGAATTCCACAGCCAGCATGAAACGCTCTTTTACAGTCATTGCAAAGGCGCAAGATGGCAGCAATAGGCCGAAGAAAACCATACCTGGAACTTCATTTGTTCAGCCTTTTCAGGATCAGCCGCCGCCACGTGCTGGTAATGGCGGAGAGTGTGACGCTGATCTTTCTGTTCGGCCCGTACGTATCTCTTCAGAGCGGTCAGGATGCGGTCAGGCTGTGTCAAAAGAGGAGTGTGACATAAATTAGTTGAATCTTGGCTGATTGCCTGCCGTTCCTTCCCCGATTCTCAATAGTTGGTCTTTGATCTGATGGGATCCTCTTACTTGCCTCTCTTGGTTCCAGAGGTGGGTTGCTACCAGTTTGCACCGGTTCGGGCGAACTGGTAGTAGAAATTGGGATGCAGTTACTGAACCGGTAGGGTGGCAGGCTGTCCACACCCCTGAACTGGTCCCCAGTCCCCCATGTTGTTGCCGGCATGTTTTTTAGTCATTTTATAATGTTCTGCACATGTGCAGAACAATCTACAGCAGAGGTGGGTTCCTACCAGTTCGCACCTATTTGGTAGAACCGGTTCGTCAAATCTACCGAACCAGTTAGAA